ACAGTGCAAGCAACCTTGATTACGACATGGTCTTAGCAGATATAGCAATGGTTTCTCTTCTTCTCCCTAACCTCCATGCTCCTACACAGTAAAGAAACTCATTTAAACACAAATTTTCCCTGGCTACCTCATTTCCTTATAACTTTTGACTATTTGAGGCTTTATACGGTGTGTGGTGTATCAGACTTGTACAAAGCTGGGTGACAGGACTAAAGCAGCCCCTCCCCAGCTATGTAGTAATATACAAGCATCATATCCTTCCTGGGTTCTATTTTCTGAAATACCAGATGGGGGCGATAACCTTTGTTTGGCAGTTTATTGTTTGCGTTAGAGATAATGCTTGTATAGAACCCCACACATAGCCTCAAACAAGAAATCTCAGGCATTGGAGGCCATTGGAATATGCCTTTTCTTTTTTTTTCCTTATCTCGCTTTCTTTTATTTCCTTCCTTTATTACCTATGGTGTACAGTACAGAAGAGAAGCCCTGGTAAGAAGACATTCTCCAAAAGTTCTTACTGGTTTAAATCTGCTTGCAGCCACAGTTTATAATACTTCACACCTTCTACTAATTCCAGCTACTAGTCAAGAGTAGCCAATAAGCTATAGGATTCAGCCTACACATTTTTCTTTCAATTAACTACATATTTCAGATGACCAAGGTTGAAATAAAATGAAAATACCTATTGCTGGAAAGAGGATACTCAATCCTGCAACCTTGTAAGAAGAATAGATTGGTACAACCTTGACACATTGCAGATTTCAATGTGGTAAAAGCCTTAAAAATATGCACACTCGGGTCAGCAGGTGGCATGCAGGTTAAGGAAGTTGGATTCCATGTGGTCAACTGTGGGGTTTACACTAGATTCAGCAGCTTGAAAACACTCCTGGTGCATAGGCATGTATGCCCAAAATCTCAAGAAGAGAATGGGGAAGAAAAGTTTGTGGCATGGTCATCCTCCCAAAAGGTGCTTTCTCACCTCCCAGAAGGTACTTTCTCACTTTCCTTCTCTCTCCTTTTTTCCTTTCTCTCTTTCATGAGCACACACATTCTGTAGCAAACTAAAAGTAATAATAATAATAATAATATTTTTTTCTGCCAATCTGTCCTTGCAATGGCACCTCAAGAAATTTATCCTGAAGATACGTGTTATGTTCACAAAGATATACGTGCAAAAACACTCTTGCAATATTATTTGTAATAATAAAGACAGAGAGAGAGAGAGAGAAAGTACCACTGAGGGTGGTGCAGTGGTTCCACATTACTCCATGATGCTGAAGTTCTGAGGTTAGAAGGTCTTGGGTTAGAGTCCCAAGGTCTGCTCATGCACACCAGGCATGCATGCATGTCTGTGATCCTGGTTGCCTGAATCTGGGAGCAGATCATGGCATGAAGGTCTTATTGGGGGCACCTCTCTTTATCTCCCTATTTTATATGGAAGAAATACATTTTCTTAAAAAATAGAAATAATCTAAATATCCATATAACAGACTTGTTAATCATTGTACGATTATATATGTACATATATATGTATTGTTGATTAAAATGGTAGCATGAAGACATATTTATTGATATGAGAGAAATATTTGTACATTTATATGTGTGATAAATGTGGGTTGTAAAGCAGTATCACAGGGTCAGGAATCTCTCCCTGAATGTACCCTGGGTTCAGCTGATAAAGGGAAAACTTTCCCAATAGCTCCTGATTTGCAGGTAGACAAGGAGAAGATGGGCTCTAGCCTTCTCCTATCTGACCTTGGCCTTCTGCATGGTGCAGAGAGGGGCTTGGTGATGGTAAAACCAAGAAATCAGCCCTGCAGCTGTGTGCCTTTGGGGCTAGCTCTCAGATTCTTGTGACTATAGTGGGGTATACTAATCTCTCCACTCCTGTTTCCATGAGGTGAGTTCACCTGCATGGGGGCCCAGGGCGTTTCTGTTCCCTTAGTGAGAGTGTGAGGCTGGACCATGTCTTCCTGTGGTATCAGGTCAGTGAGAGCTCTAGAGCCCTACTTCACCCACAGGCATTAGCTAGTCTTAATATGGAGGCTGAGGGGCAAGGAAGCACTGTGGCCACTGGGACATGCTTTATTTTCCAAGCAGACTCATCAGAAATAAGTAGAGATTGCATGTACATGTTCATTGTCCTCCTCTGTCTACCTCTTTGATTCAGAACTTTTGGAAGAAAGAGGATTTACAAGGACCCTCTATCAAAAGTACATGAATATGCACACCCACTGTGTCTTTGTGAAGAATAGAAAGATGGAAGGATTCATACCTCAATAGCCATCTCCAGGTGGTGGGATTACCTGCATGTGTAAATGTTCTGATCAATTTTGCTAGTAAACACTTATTAAAATTATCCTATTGAAACTGTTGAAGTAGAAATAGAATTCTCCTTTAAGCTTGTTTCCCATTGCGGCAAAAACTTCGCAACTTTTCCTGCTAGATGAATGGAAACTGAGTAATGACACTAGTATCTGTTGGACACCTAATATGTTCCAGGTATGGTACAAGGAGTTCAGACTATATTTTTCTCCAAGTCTCATATCAGCCTTATGAGTTCAGGACTTTCATGTGAATTTTTTGTTTGTTTGTTTGTCAGTGAGAAAAGACAGTGAGAGAGGGAGAAAACAGCCCCTAACTGTGTGTGGTCACACTACAATCCCTTCTCCTCCACTTCAGCATCCTGTAGGATTTGCCCCCCACTCCTCAAACACACCTGACATGTTTTTCAAGCCACTGGGGCAGGATTCAAACCACAGTTGGCCATGTGGAATCTAGTTCTCTGAACTACTAGGCTATGGGACTGGCCCTATTTTTATATTGTAAAAAGTTTATTTTTTCCATAACAGAGACAGAGAGATAGGCACCCACAATAGGGCCTTCCTATCATGATTCCCCGCTGGTCCCAGCTGGTACCGATCATGAACACACACATATACCCACAGTGCTTAGAGAAATTCTGGGAGGCGAATCCATACCCTTTCCAAGTGGGTCTAATTGTACTGCTACGGCACTACCCAGCCTCTGTAGAAACTTGATGGATGGTGAAATTGTAACTATAGAAATTGAGGAATTTGCACAATGTCCCATAGCTTTAAAGGGACAGAGCGAAGCCCTCACTCCCAAATCTATGTCTTCCCTGTTGAAATACATTGAAAATTTAAGAAGGCTGAGTTAAGAGAAGAAAGCACAATGAAAGTAATGGTTAATGAACTTGATATCATAAAATGTGTGTACTAAAGGTAGTTCCATAGTCTGAATAAACATATTCCCATTTTTCTTACAATTCTACCAAACCCAATCCTTAAAAATCTAGATGCTATATGGTAAAAAGCAGGTAGGGTGAATGGGACCACCAGTTAGCGTAACAGCTATGTCGCTGGACTCCCACGTGGTCGACCGCGGTTCAAGTCCCGGACTCGGTGGCTTAAACTCATGCCAGGCGCGTGTGCGTGCATGCCCAAGATCCTGAGAGGAGAATGGAGGAGAGGGGATTGCTGCGTGGCCACCCCCCCGGGGGGTGATTTCCTGCTTTCTGTCTCTCTCTGTCTGTCTGGCGAGTGCACGCACCCTATAGCAAAAACCTCTTCAAAAAAAAGAAAAAAAAAAAGCAGGTAGGGTGATTTCTGGTGACAGGCATCCTAAGAATAGTGCTCAGAGTGGTATGTCCAGGCTTGACAAGCCAGGGAAGAAAGAGATAGGCGGAAATATAAACATTGCATCTAACAGGACAGTGGCGTCTGAGGACACTGCGAAGGGACCCCAGTCACTGCCTGTGATCTAATCACCCCTGAATCCAAGGAGAATACAGTAATTGATTTTCACAATGATGATCCTGAGTCATCAAGAAAAGGTTACATTTTATGTTCAGAATTCTCTGTTTAAAAAGGCAAAGAAGCGTGTAATCCATTTGAGAACGATTTTCATTTCAAATAGTTAAAAATTCTTTGAAAAGATTTTTGGTGCTTAAAGGGATAAGTGACAGTTATGTGGAAAATTCACTTATGTGGAACAACGTCTTCCCTGAAGATTCTAGATCAGCGAGGCAGGATACTGTGTTTAGTGAGGCTTCCGTTACTTCCCGTTTGCTGACATCTCATTGTCAAATGTTCTCCAAAATTTCTAAATTATTCTTAGTCTCTTCTTGAGACTAGAATTTGTGACACCCCTTCTTGGATATATTCACCCTGTGGCCTTTTTGCCACCACAAAACAAGACAGACTGACATTCACAAAGATGACCCACTCCCCAGGAATGCATATATTTGGACAAAATTCTCTTGATAATTTGCAAAATTTCTTACGGTTTTGGTAAACAGTTCTATAAATTTTGTTTTTGTTTTCAAGCATGTTAATAAGTAAATCATCCATTCATTCTAAATAACCACACAAAATGAATAAATATAATTAGTCTAACTTTTTCTAAAAGCAAATTTTATTTTTAATAAGCATCACTTCATGTAGGCCTCTGCATTTCAGGTTGCGTGAACTCTATGCACACACAGGGTCACCCCTACCTACCTTGCTGGCCTCCTTTGCTGCAGACGTGGCTCCAGACTCTGAGCTGAATATGTTGCAACACCTGGTGCCTTCTCACATCTTAGTCCCTTTCCCAGAAATAACCTTTGTCACCTCCACACTGTCTGTGCCTAGTTCAAATACTCTCTTCAGTGCCATTGCTTTTGAGGAGGTTTTTGTTCTGACAATAGTTGTAGGATGGGTGTTGTCATCATTTTCCTTTTGTAGACGAGGAGCAAAACTTGAGAAGCTGCTGATTCACTTCAGGTCACACCTGGTTTCAAGGCCAGGATTAGTACCTAACCAGTGCCCCCAGGCCGTGTTTCTCTCCACTGTAGAGTGAACGACTGTAGCTACATCCCCCTTCCTGGCAAATACCCCTGTCCTCCATGTTCAGTTTAGGGGCTCCATCTGTCCCACTAGCATCACCTCCCACACAGATCATGAAGCAGGGCAGGGGCAGGAGTGAGCTCTCCCTACCTGGTGTGTTGAGCAGGCGGGACCTCCTGCAGTGGTAGGCCACCTCTTGTTCACAGTGCTCTGAACCATCGATCACAGCCTCCAGCTGCTCCATGCTGCCTCCGTAGTCCAAGGCCATGGTGTAGGGCTTCTCGGGGTTGGAGCCCCGCACCCGGGTCAGCTCTGTATTGTTGTGCTGCACTGATGTCCAGATCTTGTCCTCTGCCCAAACAACACAACCAAGGAGAAAGGTCAAAAGGGGAACATACCAGCGCGGAGAGAGGACACTCATCTTTTACCGAGTAATTGCTGCCTGAGTGCTCTGTTTATGCAGAGAATGTGAGCAGAGAAATTTGTCCCACATAGAGCTGCCCCCCAGAATTAGGATATGAATTAATAATCTTAAGTACTAGGGACCAACAATTAGCATAATGGCTATGTCGCTGGACTCCCATCTAGTCGACCACAGTTTGAGTCCCGGACCCGGTGGCTTAAACTCACACTGGGCGTGTGTGCATGTGTGCCCAAGATCCCGAGAGGAGAATGGAGGAGAAGGGATTGTGGCGAGGCCATAGCCCCGGGGGGTGATTTCTCGCTTTCTATCTCTCTGTCTTTCTGTCTCTCGCTGTCTTTCTCGCTTTCTATCTCTCTGTCTTTCTGTGCCCTGTAGCAAAAACCTCTAAAAAAAATTATAATAATCTTAAGCACTAAATTTGTGGAACCCTTATTCTGTAGGCTTTCTTTATTTTTCTTTCCTTTCTTTCTTTTTTTTTTTTTCTTGGAGAGGTTTTTGCTATAGGGCGCATGTGTTTGCCAGAAAGACAGAGAGAGACAGAGAGACAGAAAGCACGAAATTACTCCCTAAGGGGGATGGCCATGCCACAATCTCTTCTTCTCCATTCTCCTCTCGAGATCTTGGGCACGCATGCACACACACCCGGCATGAGTTTAAGCTGGGTTAAGCCATTAAGCCAATTGCTGGTTCCATTTTTTTTTTTTCTGCAGGCTTTCTGTTAAGCATGTAATACCTGTTATCTCATTTAAAATGGATAATACCTAAATTGAAAGGGAGTTGATACGCTATGTCATAAATGAGGAAAGCATGAACAGGCAGAACTAGGCAGTTCACTGGAGATTACATAGAAAGTGACTAAGCGAGATTTGAACTCACGAGCCTGACTCCAAAACCACCCTTCTAGCCACTGTTACACGTTTCCTTGTGAGAAAAATCCTATAATAGATACTTTTCTCAGAGAAACACATGTATCATGTTGAAAATAAAATGTACACAGAGAAAACTGTCTGTAAAAGTTACATTACCAACAAGTTGTGATTATGTAATCTGCACTGTAAATGCAATGCACTTAATTACAGGTATTTTAAAATTATTTATTCTTCATACTAACTATATTTGACAAAATATTTGTAAAAGTTTACAATAAAACAAGAAATCTAGAGGTCAGCAGGTGGCATAGTCCCAGATGTGGCAACTTGCTTTCTCATTTTCCCTCGCTCTCTCTTTTTCTCTGTCTCTCTCTGGGGAGTGCGTATGCCTTGTAGCAAAATTTTTAAAAAATAATAATAAATAACAGTAAATACATGATCCTGTGGAAGGGAATAAAAGAATAAAAGAGAGTCAGGCGGTGGTGTGGCGGTAATGTAACTAGAACACAGAGGAAAGGTCTTGACTTCATGGTCCAGGACCTCCTGTGTATGCCAGGTGCATAGGTGCGTGTTTGTAATCTGTGACAGCTGAAACTGAAGGTGGATTGCAGTGTGAAATTCCTGTTAGGGGTGTCCATCTCTGTCTCCATCACACTCTTTTTTCGTGGAGGGCATAAATCAGTAAACTTAACATACACACACATACACACACACACACACACAGAACTTTAACTGAGGATAGAAATACATGCTTTGTATAATGCAAAAATAAATGGAAGGCAAGATATCTAAGAGATCTGCATTTGAAACTTATTTCTGTCAGTAACAAACTTGGACAACTCAATTCTCTTTTCTGAAGCTCAATTTTATAGTCAGTTCAAAAGACATTAATGGCCATAAAAATTGGACAGTAATACCAGCAGAATAGTGGCAGGTTGTTAATATGGAATAGCAACCCAAATATGAAGTTGTAACGTACTATCTAGGCTGCATCAGACACTGTAATAATAACCCGGATAAAACGGTCACTGCAATTGGACATGCAATTTAATTCTAAACTTCCTCACGAATAAAGCAAAAAAGGAAATAGGAAAACTTGAAAAGCTTTTGCCATCTGAGAATCTTGGTTACATAATTACATCATTGTTTTTCATAGATTTTTCAGAGCTAAAAGGGAACCTAACACAGAAAGCATATGTTTGCCCACCTCCAACCTTAGCTTTTACTAGTGGGGAAATCAAGGTTCAGAAAGTAAAGAAATTTCTAAGGCGTATCTATCAGACAGTAGTGATGAACACGTATATGGAAATTAACCCCTGATAATTAGCACTGTTAAGATGTGAGATGATATCTGAAAAACACCTAACCCTAACCCTTGATTTGTATAGGAAGAAAAGAGAAATCCTGTCTAACTAATCTGTAATAAAAGATGCTATGTTATCACTCCATACTGTAATATTTTACATATATTCTTTTCACTACTCATAACAATCCATTATAATATGAATACATATAAACATGTATAAATATATATATAAATATGTGTGCATATATATACATATATACATATATGTATATATACAACATTACAGTCCTAACTTTAAACACTATATGAAACAGAACCTCTTGGCTGGCTGGCTTTGGCTTTCACTTCAAAGCTGCCTTGTGCCCTGATTATTTTTCTTCAGAGAGCTATGAGTAAAAACAAGGAGGTGATTGGATAATATTTTTCACACCTTCTATCTTTATGTATGTGTATATATTCATGTGTGCATAAAGTACACTTGTCCCCAGTTTTACCATGTCCAGTCTGATCCCACAAGTGATCCTCACACTATCACTCAGTGATATAAATCTACATTTCCCTCCAGGGACATAGATTTTCATATCTGTATCTCCATTTATCTCACTGTACATTCATTTATTGATGCACTTGTTTACTCATTGACTCATTTTAACAAAATCATATTCTTTATTCTATCTATGGCAAGATGGAATACGAAGTGTTGTTATCCAAGAGTGAACCTTTCCTTTTACAGCCACCAATATCATTTTTCTCATCACTGAGGGTGATTTAAAGTTTTAATAACTTGATTTAAAAATTGGCACTTTTTGGCATATGCAATGGACAGAAGACACAAAGGAACAATTAAGAGCTCCAAAATGTTCCCCATAGCATTTGTTTGAAAGTAACCAGGAATCCAGAAATCAGGAAAATATTGTCCTCTCATACTACCTTTAGTTACTTAGCTCATTTTCTGTCATTACTTCTTCTATGTACGGTCATCCAATCCCATGATTAGAAAGATAGCCTCATCATACTAACTGAAAACAGCAATCAGGTATTGGGTTATCCAAGGTGCGTTCTCTTTGCTTAAGAGAGGCCTGCATTTGAAGATCCTAAATTGGCAGAAATTTAGTCATCTTCAGCTTAGGAGGGAAATAGACCACTTCACTAAATGCTCCTTTAACATTTAAAGTATTTAACACATTTGCTTTTTAAAAATAGTATTCAATCCAATGTGTGGGCTTGAGTGTGAAAGAACTCATGACCCAGATCCACACTGGCTATTGTGTCACTGTCACATATGAAGAACTTACAGGCCATGGGCCATAGCTAGCACGAGTAATGAAATTTCAAAGCGTCATGTCAAAGAGATAACCAAGTATTGTCTGGTAAACCCGAGGAGCATTTCCCAAGTTGCACTGTTATTTGTGACTTTCAAGACTATCTCCCCATAAAGCTAGGAGATCTTCAAGAATATGAAACATCTCACTCATTTTTGTATTCAAATACATGCCCAGCAGAGAACACGTATAGTGGGGGAGAATGCACTAAGTTCTCCAAGAGCTCAGCTTGGCTTTGGGGAGAAAGCTGTACACATGCGAGTGACAAATGTCCGGCAGTTGTTAGTACTCTGGAGAGTACCAGTAAGACGACTGCCTACACATCAGTGGGAGCAGCACTGGTTGCAGTAGTGGTAGGAGTGTATAGGGCTGCACGCTGCAGACCACACCCTGTTTTCCTTGAGAATTTAATTAATTAGCACTATTTGTATTCTTCCAGTTGCTCAGTTTAAACATTCTGAAAGCGACTGTTCTATGCATGTGTGAGGGGACTTCAAAAAATGTTCATGGAAAATGGAAGTAAAGTATGAGTTTATTTTAGTGCAAAAATATTAAAATTCTTGCGTATTTTTTTCATAATACGCATTTTTCATGAACTTTTTGAAGATTTTGTTTATGTGATGATCCCCATTTAGAAGTTTTAAGTTGTAAGATTAAACATATGTGCACACACATGTACACTCACACACACACAATAAGAGAAAGAAAAAACTATTGCACAAAGCGTTAATGAGGTAGTAACAGCAGGATATTCTAGACCATTTTATACTACCATCCCTGTGGTGAAACCTTCCCTGGCAGTCACCCCTGGGAAGGTCTCAAGCATTCCCTTGGTTCTGGGTGTCTGGGTGACCTACCTGGATCCTCTGGCTCTCTCTTCAGAAGCTGTAAGCTGTTTATGTACAGACTGACAATTTCATTTTCTTTCATATTTTTTCCTCTCATTTTATGTGATTGGTATTATTATTGTGATCATTATTATTAATAATAGTAATTACAGATGATGCAAGCTGTTCTATGTGTTGCCATGGGGATCACTACTCAGAAGAAAGAACAAACAAAAAGATGTAAAAAAAGGAGCAACAAGAAATAACTCTGATTAATAAGACCTCATTCTGCACGCATATCTGTCTCTTTGCAGAGCCAGAAAAAACTGTAATTTTTCTATCACAGTGCTTCGAGGGAAGAGAAGTCTACAGATTGTCAATACCCAGCTTAATTGAAGTGAAATCACTGTGGGGAGCTGCTTATAGTCTTTTAACAGTGTGCCAATTCACTTACACTTCTATTGTAATAAAACAAGTCTATATTAAGGTCCCCGGGGTCACTTCTAGTGCAGTTATCTATGTTGACAAAGTGAATTTTCTATGCCACGGGTAAAGGCAGTTCAAATAATCCTCAAAGCACTGTCTTTACCACTCATTTACCAT